GACTAAATTCTTGTTTCCATGTTGCACAATCCTTGGTATAAATCCTATGCATAATGTATTTAGTTTCGTTTCAGGAGTAGTCTAAGTAAAATGTAGTGGCTTATTTCTCATTATTCATTACTCAGGGCACGTAGAATCTTATGGACAGAAAACGTGACGTATTAAGGCATAGTAGAATATTATGAGTTAAGCTATTCTGTTAGTTGCTAATGCCAAAGTGTATATTACATTATATCCAAAAAACATTCTTGTGTGAACATAAACTCCTCAAAAATTGTATATTTCAGTTTCAATAATAAAGTCTTTCTTAGATACGAATATTTCATAACGGAAACAAATAAACTTTAGCTATTATTTAATGTCAATATGAACTGAATTACCTAATACTTAATTTAAAAATTAAAATGTATTTACGATAGGTATTTTACAAAAAAAAAAACTGCAACAATATATAACCACATCACAAATATTGGATATTAGTTTGTGATGAATATCAATATATTAGCAACCATTATTACGCCCTAAAATGGAACCAAGAATTATAATATTCATTAAGTGAATTTACTTAATGAATATTATAATTCTTTCTTCTATTATTAGAAAGAAAATATAGATATAATAAACGTCTTACTTTCCCGAGATACAAAATACTAACAGAACGCGGTAACTATACCAAATACATATCAAAGTACTATTAGGTACTCACCTTACATAGCCATTAAAATATCATGGAAAGTTTAATTAAATTGCAATCTATGTTGCAATGAGTTTTTCACTGAGCGATGGAAGTTGTAATTATAAATTCATAACTAACTCTCAGTCATGACATTTTGTACATACACAAAGTCCCCGCAATCGCTGGGGTGAAATAAACGAGACTTGGTAAAAGCAGAAAAAATTATAGAACCTAACCAATATAAAATAAATTGTTATCAATATTATAATTATACTATAATAAAGCATATTTAATTTTATAAACACTAGTACAAAACTTGTTTCATATAAATAAAATTTCATGATAAACTTTGTACTAAAGTGCTGATTTTACTAGTAAAGTTTATTTGTAGAATATCTTCTATTACAATATAATATAATACTTTGTTTTGTAGATACGTAAATATAAAGTTTATCCTGTAATAAAATTAAGTAATACTCTGTTTATCCATCCTCAATCTTAAGTAAGTAAGCTCTATTGACTCTAACTTCCAACCTTTACTCGTAATTTTAAGCATAATTAAGTGCAAAAATGAGACCTTTTCGCCTTTCACCTACGGTACTCTCATATTCATCACTCTTATGTTATTCTTATTTCTTAGTAGTTTAATTACCTACAACTTCTATTCAGGAAGATCATGAGTTTACATCTAAATAAAAAAAATTATGTATATCAATTTATGTTTATAAAAAACACTCCGTAGATGGAATCATAACGAAATCAAAACCAAATTAATGAGAGAGACGGCGGTAAGCACCCGTCCTGCCAAATTGGGTTTAAATATACGGAACGAAATGTAGGTATGTCATGTATTGCATTCACCGGAACAAGTTGATAATACATCTAGTTGGTTTAGCTTATATTATAAAAGGCTAGACAGTTTCAGGTCTTTGAAGTTCATGTATTATCTGTTAAATACCTATTATAAAAGAGAGAGAAAGAGCAAATTTTAATAATATTAATCCGGGCAATTGGTACAACAGACATTAAAATATTCACATTTAATTTCCGATTTTTGTAGATATCTTATATATAAAATTCTCGAGTCACAGTTTTCGTTCCCATACTCCTCCGAAACTTGACCGATTCTTATTAAATTTTGTGAGCGTATTGATAGGTCTGAGAATCGGCCAATATCTATTTTTCATCTCCCTAAATGTTAGGGGTAGTTTTTTTTTTATTTTAAGGCAAAACAACGTTTGCCGGGACAGGTAGTAATTATATATATTTTGGTATAAATTTCATATTTTGTTACTACAATTAATCTTTCTTTGTGAGGAAATAACTACATAAACGCAGACTGCGGCTAATGTAATATTTTCCACTAATATGTAAAGAAATAGAAAAATATTCAAGTCCTTCGCTCTCCTTAAAATACGATGTTTTAAATCTTGTTAACGACATTTCGAACCGTTTGGTTTTTATAAGTCATGAAAATGTAGATTGTAGTTTCGTAAGATTGTGATTCATTAAGATTATTTGCTTCACAATTTGCAAAAGTTATATAAAGCCAATTGTATAGTTACTGAAAGACGTATAGAAGTAATACAGTCGTAATGACAGTAACGAATTTCAATGCGACATATGATGTCAGAGTGAATAGTTGCTCCCAGTATAATTCTCCAATACTGTCAGTACATACGCCAATTAGTGTGCTACAGCGTAGACAGAACTTTGAATATTTCATACAAACTGTAGTTCCGTTTATATCTCAGACGAAAAGCGTTTGTATATAAACGGAATTAGAAATGCTATTCATGAATATGCAACATGTATGTTATATTTAACTTCATCCTCCTATTGATCCCCTGCTCCATTCAAATGGAGATTGCAATTAAGATGGTCGGAGCTAAAGTTCAAACCTCAACGGACTAAAGTTGTATTCCTTAAGCAGGAGTTAGTCTTCAACTGATATCTACTGGTTTAACGTAGGTACATTAAACTAATAGGTTGCACTTGCTTCTTGCGTCCAACGACGATGTAATGTAAACATTGAAATAGTTTATAAATAATTTACAATTGTTTCCTGCCCTTTTATATTTGACTGAGAGTTTCCTATTGTAGATATATATTTAAAAAAAGAATGCAAGTCTAAAAAATAAATTGTTTAGTATTCATAGTACAAGCTCTGAGAAGGGTAGATAATGTAGGTATTCGTAAATATAACTCTTTTGTCGAAGGTAGAGTTGTTTAATAAATCTAATGTTTATTGTTCTTGGCTAAATATTATGGTTGTTTTTAGTGTATATTTTTAATTGGAGTTTACATTGCTTCGTATGAATTATGTAACAAATTTAAATATGTGAATTTTGTAAAACTTTGAGATATTATGATATGGTGCTGGTGCATTTACTTGTGTAGTTAAGTTTTGTCCAGTAATGTTCATATCGTCCATAAATTTAACAAAATATGGCCCTTACTTGAAGCTCATGCGATCACGAGGGAAAACTATAAGTTAGAAATAAAACTAGTTCTAAATGAGAGACCGAGATAAAAATATTATAATTGCACAAAGAAATATAAAGACAGGATATACTGGCATAATATTTTTTGTTCGTCGGAGGAGAGGATTGGTAATTCCAAACCTCAGTTACACAGATTAAATAAATATATAAACTATAATAATTACCATACTATTATGGCATTTCAAATTAAGACCTTCAGTCTTACCTGACCTCTAACAGTTCCATACAATGTAGCTCACTAAAGACATAAACTAAACAAATCTCTCTGAGACATTGATACTTATCTTAACACTTTTATATAAAACATATACAGATATATATTTTTTTTTATAACACGTAGGTGGCAAATAACCAAATGGCCCATTTGATTACCGTAGTCTATCATTACAGTTGGTACAAAGTAGGTATGAGATAAAGTTTTATAGACCAGGAACACTAGATTTAAAGTTCTCATCTAGCCCTAAGATCAAGTAAAATCGGAAAAAGCAACTTAAAAACAAAAAGACTTACCGTGCCCTGTCTACCTAAACAGTAGGACAATGTACCTAAATCTTTCTTGGATCTTAGGTCTATGGATACCACACCACTAGTTGCTCACCACTGTTATATAGTAAAATAGGGACAACATCTTTATATTAAAAAGAAAAGTTTATCTATAATAGTATAGCATTGTTATATACTATTTATTTTAATATAGGTTGTGGGTACCTGTTTTTTAATATCATACAACAAAGGCTGCAATAAATCGATGAAATGTCAAGGTTCTGGAAACGTTTCCGGTAAGCTTGTATGAGGTTTCATATTTAATTTAACACTGTATATTATGCGCTTTCAAACTTCCATATTAACATGTAACGGCTGGTTGAACTGTATAGAGAATTAATAAAAACAAAGGGTTGCACAAGGTTAGGTTATATTAATTGCGAATATATTAAAAGCGCCGCTATTTAAAATTCTAACGACATTGGATATAATGAATGTCCTACCTACCTTTTACAATGTCAGTTATACCTGCGTAGACATCATAAAAACGTATTTGACTGGCTATAACTTTTTATTGAGATGAAAACTTGAATTTTTTACAGGACTAAGTACCTATAAGACTATAAACATTTTCAGCCATTTTGAAGAAATATTTATGATGGACATAGAAATAAACGAACAAGAAACTGAACTTGTTATACAGTTTCGATTTTACCTTTCGAGTTACGGATTACGTTTGTGCTATTACACGAAATGTTAGAACATAATTTACTGGTGTTCCCAAGAGAGAAAAACAGATATTATACTGTAACGTAACATTGACTGTGAAACCACAGATATAAATTGTAATAGACGTCCCATCTGCTTGTAATTAACGTGTATTTTTTGCTGATAATGAACTAAATATTAAAAATATATTTATATTTTATCTGAAATTAATCGGATAAAAGTTTAAAGGAATTATAGTTTTTATTGTGAAGGTAGGTACTACAATGCTTAGTGATCAATATCTCGTATAAGTTTATGTCAGTAGAAAACAATGGCCCATTTAATTTTCACACAGTATAAGGTATTTGCAGCGTTTATAACTTTCAATATCTACAATATTAGGAGGGTTGTTACATTATCTTATATATAGGATCATATATGGATCAGTTTATTAATATAACACAAAGCTCTGTACTCAAGCATTATTAAATTTTGAGACATCTTTTATAATTTTAAACAAGCTATCTGGTTTTTATCTTGACATATTTATCTTTAAACTGTTCTTATGATCTTATATATTTAGAAGTGTAACAAGGCTCTTGTACGTGCAGTATAAAAGATCACATTACCTGGTTGGTTCCACACAGTAGCGATGTCGAGCTTAAAGCTGCCGAGCAATTTATTCGACCGCAAAATATTTCGAGACTGCAATACCTGAGAAGAAATATTAAAATTTTAACATAGAGTCAACTCAGTATAGGAAATGTTATCATATAATTTTGTAAACGAAATTGTTTTCAATTTTACTTTGTATTCTAAATTGTGAAATATACATTATACAGAGAATACTAAGAATAAAATAAATATTCTATACGATTGTGTTAGATCTATATCTATAAATACTTTATCAAAATATTCAGCAAAATCGGTTCGTAATGTTCCAATAGGTATAATGCAATATCAGAAATAATTTTCTTATAATAAATAAGCTGTAGTATATACAATACATGTATACACACAGGTGCGCCTGTGTAATATACATTATCTATGTAATAATAACTCATCAGTGAATCGTAAAGGCAGACTTTGAATCTGCACCCTCACTTCGTGGCGAGTGTTTACAGCAATTAAACAACCGCTTCAAAAATTATAATTATTGCATGATACACGCTAACCATGAACAAAGGAAAGTGGTAAGTACACAATCAATATTTAACTAATTATAACCTACCATTATTTCCGTTTTAACTATTAGATTAAAATTACAAATCAAGTTATATCTATGATTCGTATTATAACTTAATAACTTTTTTCTCTATATATTAATTACATCGATATTTAATCATGTTAAATTATGTTTAACTAATAAGTACGCAATAAAGACAATCAATCGCAATATAATCGCAATTTTGGATTAAACTTGGAAACAGTCCTAGAAACTCAAACAAAAAGTCTGGCTGTTGATATTTAGTACTTTATGTTTGGGATACTGTCGATGGTAGCATATATTCGTAACTTTTAATTATCCGGATTAAGAGGATTGTTCTGTCTATTTTTCAGTTTGGAATCATTTGACCACAAAAATGTTGTTTCTCAACAGAATTACGTGGGATTAATGGTGCCCGCGAATACATACATATGTCTACATTTGCAGATCTATATTGCTTGTTGATGATCAAAACCAACAATAAATTGTTTATTGTTGGTTTTGATCACCAACAAGCAATGTATTCGTATCTTAATAACATCATGTATAATTTGGTTAATCATTACTTGTCGTATATATATATGGTTGTGTTATAACCCTTTAAGATCTAGTTTTAGAAAATAGTAGAATGTGTGTGTAAAATTTTATCTTTATATGTACAGCTCTTTTTTTTCGTTCTCATTAATATAATCATTTAATTGACGGCCTCGGTGGTGTAGCGGTTTAGGATACCGCCTTACTTCCGATGGTCACGGGTTCGATTCCTCGCACAATACAAACATTTATATTCATCAGTACGCTATATGAGTATATATTTACAAAACAAAAATATCTATGTATTTGTATCAGTTGTCTAGTAGCCATAACACAAACTCTACTTAGCTTGAGAGTAGATGCCGTTGTGTGAATTGTTATAGGAAAAAAAATATTATTTGTATTAACACAGCCTAGTACCGTGAATATTTTTCGAATACATTATATATTATATATATAGAAGATGATGTCTGATCCCACAAAGCAAACAAGAACTATGCAATTTATTACAGTTAAGTCACCATTTCTACTGAGAAGAATAACTTGAAAGGAACTTTTCAAAACGTATGCATATGTGATTGTTTTGTAACTTCGATAAACAGTTGCGACGACGTGGGAATAAAAATCCGTTTTTCTTGTCCATTGATGTGGAATTTGTATTAAGGTTTTATTTTGTTTACTATGTTGAATCTTTTGTCTTTGAATGTATTATTTGTCAATATTTCTGTTTGTTGACAAAATTGTTGCAGCTTTTAATCTTTATTATAAATACCATTACATACATATTATATAATGCTATATTGGAAGTTAACAAATAATTGTTTCTAAAATCTTCCTAAATTCTCGTTTTTGTCCAATTGTTTTATTTTTGTTTAAAAATCAAGCGATTTTGAACAGTTCCTATTATTACGGCAGTTTAGTGAACATTTTTGTACGTTGTTATTTTGCTAGTTTAAATCTATCTGATTCAATTTCTAGATGAATACAGTTGTTGATATTTTATTCACTTCATACTTCAAGTTTAAAATTACTTTAAAAAGTTCGTAAATAAGGCTTGATAATGGACTTACATTTTCATGCATACTCAATGATGCCAATAAGAAAAACTAGTAATGATATTACGAGTATTTCGTGTGTTTAGTGAAGAATATTGTATGTACCAGTACGTGCCTCATATTGATACTGTCCACATATGGATAATATTACAAGCATCCCAAAGTATTACTAAATTGAATATTTACCTTTAGCTATTTACCTCACTATATTTTTTATTGCACACTCGTAAACTATGACACTGTATATATAAATGATATTTTACCGACATGCGCTCGGCAATAAGAATTCCTAAAAGGTTTTCGGAATTTAAATAAAGGTTTTTTTAATATAACTGTCACCACTCCGATTACATACTATATATATGTAGTATAAAATAATGTAATAAATAAGATATATTGATTATTAATTTATTACATTGAGGGAAACTGTAGAAAGTGTCTGCGTAGTCTTAACATATGTCGCCTAGCAACTTTTATTCTTCAAGCTGTTTTTTTTAACTATTCTAAAGTTGTTGGCCGCAGCTGGCCTTTACAGCTTTACCTGAAGATAAGGGGCGGGTGTGGATGGCACTCCAAACCCGCGGAAGGACTTATGGAATGCTTGAAGGCTAACTCCCACCTGATGGTTTGGACTTTAGTCTGAGGGCACCGCTAGGGGTTTGCACCTCAGGCCGTCGTAATTTTGATCCCCGTTTGAATTGGACGAGGGATCAATCGAAGGGGTAAATTGGCTGTAGGATGCAAAGTAAATAGCAGAATTACAGGATAAGGGTCAGAATATCTTAGATAACGTGATATTTGTAATACTATTCATATACGTTTGTATATAGGCAATGTTTGTCACTTACTGAAACTGGTCCCTAATTTGTTTGCAGTGACATAAAAAAGTTATTTAATTATTGAATCGTTTAGTACAAACGTATGGGAACTACAATTGCCTAATGTTCATTTCCCCTGCAATAAATGATACGAATGGAGATTTATTTATGAGGTATTCATATACTACAATATAATTATTGCCGTAACTTCGAGTGTCTATCTAAATTAGAAGTAATCTATAATTTGTTTCAGCTTTCTTTAATTTATTTAGGTATATGTTGACCAATATTTCACCTACACATACGAAGGGATAAACAGACAGTTTTCATCTCATCACGTTTTCATAAATTTATAATTATTATATTAAATTTAATATTATCGCAAACAAAAATCATATATTTACAATATGTACATATTGTAAATATATGATATTTGTTTGCGATAATATTATGTACAATGGAATGCAAATATGCTTTCCAATTTTCATATTAACTAGTTAACATTAATTAGTATGAATTTAATACAGTTCTACGAATTGTGGGAATGTGTATTTAGTACGAAAAGCTAATTTGCGGGTCAAACCTTGAACAAAACAATTCAATTCTGCGATACAGCAACAATATTGTTTCCGCCGGAACTACATACACGAACATTTTGGATAGCTCCCCCATTGTGCACATTTCATAGTCACTAATTAAAATTGCTCGATCCACCATGTTGTGTACAAAGTGGATCGGAGCGGAATTAACATCACGTATATGGTTGTTGATATCCGTTAAATCAGTTGAATGCAGTCGAGAATTTAATTAATACCTGTCCGAGTTATTTACTCGTCAAACATGTACCGAGTGCCGTGATTGTTTCCAGTAGTATTCATCATGTACCTACTATTGTAAACCGCAACAGTGCATACGTGAAATAAGTAAAATTAATTTACAACATACGTTAATTTCGAATAGTAGGTACACATAAATCTGTTTGATTGAATTTTATTTAAACTGTATCTGTAAATGAATTTATGCAAATATAACATTTGATATATAATATATATTTGTACACAAATTATGATTAGAAACAAACTAACAACTCTAAAGTAAAGATTTTGAGCTTAGTTGAGTTTGCATGCAATATAAATAATATTTGCATGGAATTACTTGTGTATTCATATTCAAATATTGGAGTAGCTTGGAGTGATATTAAAAAGATTATAACTCCTTTAAACATTCTTTCACCTACGTTATAAGCTGATAACATTGACTGTTTTTATTGAAATAAAATCCTACAATTACTGCACTGGGACGGTTTGTTAGTAGATTATATCATAAGTTCATATAATATGCCATTAACGTTAAACACACATTAATCACACAAAACAAACAGAGTATAGGAATGTGAATAGAAACGAAACAATAACGTAAAGATACACATTATGTCAAGAAATTGAAGTAATAACGGACTGAATTTGTCAACAGATATTTAGCTACTAAGAGTAGAGCCCTAAGACCTAAGGTACATAAATATATTATAAATACAAATGTCTATTGTGCCCAGTCCGTGCCATGGGAGAGGCCTATGTCCAGCAGTAGACTGCAGTGGGCTGATGATGATGATGGTGAAAAGTGTAACAGTCTGTCTGTTTATTACCTTTTTATGACAAACCGCTGAACGGATCAATCTTAATAAAATTAAACGCGAAGATTTTGTTAGAATAGAAAATCATTTATTCAAATAAACTTACATTGAAGCACTTTTGAATAGTCATAACATTTTTTTTTTTTTTTAATCTACCGCTCATTCGGAATGCTGTCTCATCACAAGAAGAACAAGCAAGAAACTTGTGTGTTGCTCTTTTAAATAATTTATTCTTACTTACAATTTAAGTTTAAGTGTGTGAATACAAACCACCGATTAGCACTAATTCAATTAAATACTCAAAAAGAAAAAAATATTGAACACATAACCAACTGGTTAAACAATTAATAAGAGGAAATCAGTCATAGTGATTAGAGCAGACCAGTCCCTACAAGCAGCACCCGTTCACGAGTATGACGGATGAGCCAGCCATCACTGCGCTCGACCATATTTTAGGGAGCCCAATG